CAACGACAACGACAACGACAACGACAACGACAACGACAACGACAACGACAACGACAACAACAACGACAACAATGACAACTACAACGAAAATGACAAGGACGATAACAATATCAACACCAAATTTTTAGCACATTATTATAGACTATTAACGCCGTATGGACTAACCGTAACTATGTCTACAATTATACAGGAACAAGTTTCACTGTCCATGTCCTTGGGATCAATACGATATGACGTCATCTTCGACTATGGCAAATACCTAAAAGATGACCGTGCCAAAGCCGTTGTGAACAAGTATCACGATCGACTTACAGGAGGCATTAATGACCAAATTACTGCTAGAAATCAGAAAAGGTTGGCAAACGGAAAGTTGAGTTATCCCTACTTGCTTCCAAAATGGATGCCGAATAGCATTCACACATAGCCGTGGAACTATGGAAACGCGATGGAATAAAAAATAATGCCTTGAAAACTGTTATTATTCAGTATTATTACTAAATCTTTGTATTGGTTATACTATGTTTTATGTATTCAACTCAACTGACTGTATTGCCGATTAAATAGATCAGGATGAGTTGTCTCGTTTGCCATGGCAAACTGAACTGATTAGATGTAGCCATGTTTTTAAACCACGTCCAGGGATGTCTTTTCATAGAAAATAACAGCTTTACAAAATATATATTTTATCACAAAACTGTAATTTTTGATATCATTAAAACATTTCAGGATATTGGACACGATGAAATGCATTATTGATGCGATGAGATGCATCCATGCAATGAACGCGAACTTGATTTAAATTTCTTTGCTTTTTGCAATTAGACTAACAATTTTCAGAGTGGTTGTTTGGCACAACTGGGTCAAAGTTTTTGACAGTGACTCCGCTCGTGTTTTTAAGTCCCCACACAGATCGAACGCATTATCTATTACTTCAATGTGTGTATATTTGGATCATTATAGGAGAAGGATTTGGTACAACTAATGCAAATCTTTCACAATTGCATAAACATGCCGTTAGCTTGGCGTATACATTAGAGAGGTTCAGATTTTTACTTCCACTACCGCTATCGTTACCATTAACCAATCAGATGCATTTATTCTACCTGATTGACCAACCAAATGCGTATTAACTCCATGGACGAGAGGTGGCGATAGTGGTAGTCAAATTAAAATCTAAAGCTTTGAGTAAATGTTTGAAAACGCGACGTTCTTGAATGCTACGTATTATATACTATAGTAAGTACAGCACGTGCCAGAATTCATCTAGACCGACATTTGTAATTATTTTACACTATAAATATACAGTGACGAATTTCTTTCTTCAATAAAATTTCTTGACTTCTAGCTTATATATTCTTCCTCAAAACATTGAATAGAAAAATAATTGTTGTCAATTGGTTATTTTATCGCTTTCTTTTGTCTTTCTGTGTCAGAGCCATTAATGTTACGTTACTTGCTTCTTGAGTTGTTGAAAGAGATTGACTTCTTCGTCCTACAGTAACGAAGGCAAAACAGTTCAAAAAACTACTTTTAGAGAGCTTAAGATACGTTTACATGCTGCGATGTGCGATTCGTATTCTGGCGTATGTAATCAAAGAAGCACGAGTAAAAACGCGGTTGCATTTCTATAAAATAAATGAAGAAGAATTGTGGCGACAGCGCTAGCAGTAATGTTCGTTCACCAGAATAAGAATCGTAACGTGCAAACGTATACCTTTAACCAAGCTACAATCTTTGCCAGAAACTATGGGACAGCTGCTGCAATTTCATATAATTGGACTAAAGGAATAGCGCCCCCCGTTCCCTCCAGTTCAATGTTGGGCCGACAAAAATTTGATGTGTGGTGCAAGGCGCCAACATTGAAACGGGTGGGGAGAGGGATGGTGGAAAAAATGCAAAATCAGGAAATGGTATATTACAACCGAAGGCATGTGATAACTAGATTGTCCCAATCTATATTGTCAAAGATTGTCTGTTGAAGTAATACCATACTCTTAAATGTAACTTAATTCAACTTGTAGACATCATCAAACTGGGTATACGCAGTTATATTTTCATAATTTCCTCATCCTTTTAGGATCTTTAGCAATTTCGTTGCACACGGATAATTTTTGTGTACTGTGTAATACAATGTTTGCGTATGTATGTATTTAGCTAAAATCCGGCTGAAATATCGCGTATATTTAAAATCAGATTTAAACGCTTGTATAGACCAATTGCGAAACTTAGTCACCGCGCCTTCAACTGCACGAGAACGAGGCTTATTATGCAAAAACAAATCATTCTGCTATATTTTTATAAGGCGAAAAATGAATTTCAGTGTTTGAGACGCGTTTTTATGGTAATCTCTTCATTTTTTTTCAATATTTTTGTTTCGAGTATATGTAAATCTTTATTAAACTTGTTCATAGATTTAGTCTTACTTCAAATTTCATTGTTTTTTGCGGCGTAGGAGGCAAAGTTTTGCTGTTTTTCGCCGTCCGAAAAGAAGCAGATTATACCAGAGAAAGAATCAGGTATTTTCCGTCTGTTTTCTTAATACTTTTCAAAGAATAAGTTGTAACATTGATTAAATTTTGTTTCAGTTGTAATATAATAGCAAGTTTTCGATTTTAACTTTAAAAATATGAAAGTAAATGTCGGGCAAAATTTGTAGAAATTTTATGTTATTATCCTTTGACAAAATTGTTTTTTCTCGCACGAAGTCTAAAAAAATCTAGGTAGAAAGAGATATATTTTAGTTTGTTAAGTTATAATGGCTATTTTATTTGCATCTTGATCAGATTTTAAAGTCTAGATTGATCTTTTCCATATGTTGGTCCCATCGCATGCTAAAACAACAACGAAATATCTCTCCAAAGCTGGTAAAAATATAGTGGGAAATCGATGTTTAGATAAATTTAACAAATATTTATATAACCTAGCACGAAATATTAAGAAAAGATCAAAGAGATTCAAGAAAAAACACTTTAAAAACCCTAAAATTCACTTTTCGCTATGTAAAAATATAGAAATTGTTTTGTTTTTGCATAATAAGCCTCGTTCTCGTGCAGTATGAAGGCGCGGCCACTAAATTTCGCAATTGGTCTATATTGCTACATTTATTGCGGGGCTTAATGGGAATAAATTAATCGCGACCCGCGTACGGATAACGGATGAGGGACTGTGGAAGAGTCAGCTATAAGATAGCACGATTTTACAAGTTTTCGTAACGAACTGACTAAGACACGAATGATTTTCCAACAACGATTCTTACTTTCTGTCCTAAAATAGCCGGTGAGATATAGGTTTATTTACAGTTTTGTAGTGAGCATCGTTCAAAAACGAACTTAAAAAGAGATATTTGCAAAGTTAACCGATTGTAATTAAGTAAAATGGTTTCTTGTACCAATACGGTCGTAAAATGTAACATATGTAAAATTTATAGTAACGCAAGTCAGCGTTTTAGACCGAGAATCGTTAGCGCAAGCATCGTGTAATATGAGACGTATGCAATTTGATGACTGCATGGCTGCTTTATGAACTGTGCTATAAATCTCTATACTGCAAATGAAATTTAGCTTAGATATGGCTCCAGTTCTTAAGTATAAGTTTGTAAAAGGCGAAAACAATGCATAATTATTTGTCTTTCCCCGCAGTTTGATATGTTGTGAGATGAGATTTAAACCTACTCAACTCACAAACCGATCATTTCTGAATAGCTTAATTTAAAATTCCGTTCCAGGTTCGTCGTAATTATGGCCTTTTGCATCATTCCCAGGACAGCATGTAACTTTTTGAGTATATTTCCGCGGATTTAAGAGAGCGATGATGATAATAGACGTGAATATAAGTATGCTTATTAAGCATCATATATAGTAGCACACGTAATTGTATTGGTATATAAAGTGCTAAAAATACCCCCCCCCCCCCGAAAGAATGGATAGCATCCACTATATTTCGACAAATTTCTAACCTTTATATTTCAAATGCAAGGCAATTCATGCATTCAAATCGGCTTCCAAATTAATTTATGCGGACTTAGATTTCACTGCATGGCAAAATATCCCGCTGGCCTAACAGATAGTAGTAGTAGTAGTGGCAACATTATTTAACGAGGGTAAAACACATTACAGCCGAAGGCTGAAAAACTTGTGGCCCTCACTATACTAATTACAGGAAAATGCAATAAATTATATTATACAATATACTTATACTATGTTACAAACTTGATAGCTATAAAAACTTGATAGCTATAAAAACCTGACTACACTAAGAGTATTACAGGATGATTTACTATATCTGATTATACACTTATGCTACGTTAAATAGTAAAGAGTTAAAAATGATCTAAATCTAGATATTGTTCAGTTAAAAATGTTCGGTATTTATTCTTAAATGTACCTATATTTGAACATGATCTAATATCCGTAGGAATGCTATTCCACAGTTTAGCTGCCGATATTAAAAAAGATTTTCCCCCTTCTAATTCCCGATTGTATTTGGGACAAACAACAGTTATTTTGCCATATCGTGAAGTTCGCGACGATATTTGACTAACTGTTACAAATTTTTCAGCAACATAAGATGGGGCTAATTCATTTAAACTCTTAAAAACCATACAACATTTATTTATTTTGAGTTCATCAGTGAAAGGTATCCATTTCAGTTTTTTAAACAAAGTCATGGTTCTCTCTTCTCTTAACTTGATATTTAAGATGACTCTTGCTGCACGTTTTTCATGAAGTTTAAACAATCTACCAAGATTTTCTTGACTGGTCATCGACCAGTCCAAACCACCATACATGAACAATGGTTTAATTATAGCATTATAAATTTGGATTCGTTCTCTATTTGGTAAATTATGTCTTATGGAATTCAATAGACCGATCCTCTTGGTCAGTTTTTTTTGCATAGCGCGTCGATGTGAGCATTGAAACTTAGATTCTGGTCAAAGATAACTCCAAGAGCTTTATAACACGGGACTTGTTCGAGTAGCACGCCATTAGTTGTGGTGACATTTTTACTTGTTCATCTAGAGAAAGTTTAGATTTTAATCTTTTACCTGTAACAAACATCGATTTCGTTTTGTCTGTATTCAGTTGGAGATGATTTTTCATTGCCAGTGCTCCAGGCTCAAAGTGCTTCTACATAGGTTATCGCCCAGACTATGTGAATCCGACCAGAGAGCAGAGCTACTTATCGTGGTGTCGTCGGCAAATATGTCCACAATAGAGGGGTGGGATATCGCTTCGGGGAGGTCATTTATGAATATCAAAAAAAGTATAGGGGCCAACACGAACCCTGGGGCACACCATGGGTGAGGTATTGGGACGAGGATAGTACATTATTAATGGAAGTACGTTGTTTGCGTGACATAAGATACAAGTAATCAACTGCAGGCCCACGCCTTCCAAACCGTAAATATGCAGTTTATCAATTAGTACCTGGTGGTCCACGATCAAAGCCTTCCTAAAGTCAGCGAATACCATTCCGTTAATGAAATTCTTATCCAAATTATTCACTAACCTGTCGTAAATATTTATGAGGGCAGTTTCCGTTGAGTGCTGTCGCCTAAATCCAGATTGGAATCTGTATAAGAGGTTATTGTTCTTTAAAAAGGTATGGATGGCATTATGCAAATGACGCTCAAGGACTTTCGATATTACAGGTAATACGGATATTGGCCGGTAGTTATTTTTATCGGATTTAACCCCGTTCTTATGCAGCGGTGTTACCTTAGCTTCTTTCCAAACTGTGGGGAAGACCCCACGAGCTATACAAAGGTTAATCAACTTCGTGAGAGATTCGATTATAGCTGGTGCTGCAACCTTTAGCAGTTTAATACTTAATTAGGCCGTCAGTACCAGTTGCCTTGCCAGTTGGTATGGTTTGTATTATATCATGTACCTCTTGGGTTGATATATCAGAAAAAAAAGCAATTTAGCATCTGAGTCCTTAAATTTCTGGACAAAATCAGAAACTGTAGTTGGATCGAATTCAATATTAACATCAGAGGTCATGTCAGATACATCAGATATGATCATC